TTTTTTTCATTGCATCGTGTATCTGATGCAAAAATACGTTCAGATATGTACATTACATAACCTTGAAATGACCTTTGAGTTCAAGAATTAAATGGAAACGAAAAATTTGTGTCTATCGAGACTTTAAAGACGAAGACGTCGTTCAGGAATCTGTAAGTGTAAATAAACATGTTCACTATCACAAAACCCTATTATGAAATTTGTAATATCTTTTTGCGAACCTATTTTTTAAACTGTCATTGTAATAAATGTTCGAAATAGTGTCCCTCCACATCAAGATATTTTTTTAAACATAGAATAAGAGATTCTGTGGCCCTTTCAATTGTTATGACATTAATTGCAGCACAAGCTCTTATTATTCTGTCTTTCATGTTTTCTGGCGTTGTTGATTGTTCACAATAAAGAACTTCTTTTAAATGTCCCTATAAAAAATAATTCATAGACGTGTGAGATCCGGTGACCGCGGTGGTCACGCTATATACGTTGAATCCAACAATTTGAAAATTTTGTATCTAGAATTTGTCTTACAAGGCGTGCAGAATGGGCCGGCAATCATCGTGCTGATACTGACACTTTATGTTCAGGCTACCACCCTCAGCTCGACCACCCATGCTGTTTCCTTAGTCATTTCCATGTTATCAATTTTTCGTTTATTGAATTGCTTTCGGAAATAACGTCGTTCAGTAAACTGAATTTCTTATCAATTTTGTAGCTTCATCCCAAAACGGAAAACGTAATAGATTGCCGATGTTGCTGTTGACCATTTACAATTCAACTCTTGGATACAAGGTAGGATATTTATATATTTATAACTTCAAATTTTCTCCTTTCCATTTCATTAGTATAACATAAATTATGTAATAAATGAATTTTATACGACAATTTGTATTAATTATAATAACCTCAGGCCCCTTTTGCATTAAAATGATATTTATTAACATTACTCTTTATTTGTTATACCGAGACTTTATATCTATCGACACTTTATAGACGAAGACATCGTTCGGGAATCTGTAAGAGTAAATCAACAGAAGGTTTCGATAGTGAAGGTTTTGATAGTGAACACGTTTATTTAGACTTGCAGATTCCCGAACAACGTCTTCGTCTTCGTCTTCGTCTCTCGATAGACAAAAATTTTCCGTTTCCATTCAATTTTCAAACTCAAAGGTCATTTCAAGGTCATGTAATGTACATATCTGAACATATTTTTACATCAGGTACACAATGAAATAAAAAAAAATTATATACTTATATGCAAAAAAAAATTAATAACCTTGAAACTCTGAAAAAAATTACCTTAGAAAAATATATATTTTTGCAATACGATCGTTTTTTCAGACCATTCAAATCACATACAAAATATTTTTTGTACCCTTACAATTAGAGGAGATATTTAGATGGACCATCCTGTATACGTGATGAATGTTAGCTAATACGAAAAACTGGAATAAAAAAATACTACCCAAAAGGACCCAGTCTGCGTCAAATGACGCATCTGTGCCACTATGTCTTCACCAGGGTACGTAACTGCACCTAACTTTCTTTGTTTCTACATTCTGTATATACATAGAATGGGGAGCGATTCACGCAACTGTAACAAGCCATGTTCTTTTTTATTGGAATTTTATCAGAATAGAAGTAAGAAGTTAATTATTTAATATGAACTATTATCCTATGTATCTAAACTTTTGAAATCAGTTGTTCGACATTACCAACTTCTGCTGTAAGTAGTATAAAGAGTGTTTAATCAGCCAAAAGCAATTCTAACATTCTAAATATAATAGTAATCGTTCTAACCTTGAAAGTAAGATGTTTCTTAACTACGAAGAGATTCGTAAGATATACATATATTCTACTTTCACAAAATTATTTTGTAATGCTACGCAAAAGTTGAATAATATTTTTAGAACTTATTTTCGGCATTAAGGTTTTCATTTTATTTACGCGGTCAAACAAAACCTATTTCACAACCAACATTTATACAAATTAAAATATGTCCTAAATCAATGGTCTTTTCATTTTTATCAATTTTAGTTTGTGATTTCACCAAAACATAGATATGCTTTGCAACTAAAATGTTCAAGCAAAAGGTTGTCAATCATTTCTGTCGGACATGTTAGACATCCTGTGACATGAGATTTGTAATCAGTCTCCCATTTCTTTCCTACCATTTAAAAAATCAAAAAGGAGGCATGACAATATCTTCAAAGATTATCAAAAGTATGATATTAGGTGCTTATGTTTCAATGGAACAATGGTATTATCTTGATCTTTGTAAAATACGAGACTGCTTTATAATATTTAATTATTTAATATGAATTGTGTTATCTTATGTATCTTATTCTTTAAATTAAAACAAAAATTATATTTTCCATACATAGCATAAAATGTCCTTAAGTCGTTCACGACTTTCAGATAAAGGAAACAATATTCTATTAATATGTTGTACTGATTATAAAAGACATTCGGATAATAGAAAAATACTGTGCTTTCCAACTACCACTATCAATAATACAAATTTACGGTTTTTATAGCGCTTAACTTCTGTAGACTGAAATGACACGTATATGATAGAAAAAGTTCTAATGAAGGTGGATATATTCATAAAAGTGAGAAGTTTAAAATGTAATGACTTTCCAGAAAGTAACTTTGATATTGTTATAACATAGTGTAATAATCTCTATTTTAAATATTACATTAAATTATTAAATGTATATCGCTACCCATGTCTATAAAATTATAACCTGTCAAATTTCAAGGAAGTTACTTTACAAGACCCAACAAATGAATACGAAATATTGTAAACTAATGGTCTGTGGCATCCTTCCGACGGTCAGCGTAGCGTAAATATAGGAATTATTAACAAGTAAATTTATATTTCGCAACCGTATCCTTGATCTTTATAATACTTTCAAAATTATAACTCATGACCACTATAACGAGATTCTACACCTCTAGATCGGCAGAGAGCTGTTAAAGAAACTTCGTGCAAAATTGACCTTGACCTTAAAATCAAAGTCAAATTTTTTATCATTTAAGGCATTAAATGAAAAAATGTTACTCTTTTTCTTCGTCTTATTATTATTGGATGTAGAATTACTACCCGGCCAGTTATACCGCGATTTTGGGTGTAGTGGTCGTGACATATCATTTGTTTACGTCGTTTTTTAACATCGTCTTTTATGTAAAAGATTGACTTGAGACCGCAAAAAAGATTTGACCTTGATTTTCAAAAAATCACTAAAAAAGAAAACTTATCGCGATACATGTTCGTAACGTTAATATATTTTCATAATATGCAGGATGTTAAAAAAAAAAGTGATTCAAGACTTTAACGATTTATAGTATTCAACGAGAGGTGTAATAAATGTCCAACAGCATAAATTCAAAGGTCTATCCTTCCGACAGATTACTTTTATAGTATTTGATCAATCAAAATTTAAAATATTCAATATTCGAATAAATCGATGTTTGGATACTACTTTGTTATAATCTTTCGTATGAATGTAAAATGTAATTAGTAGGCTACGGATTTTTATGCAAATTACCATTTTCATATATCTAAAAATCAAAATAAGGGAAATATTTCTGCCATAGAGCAAAAAATTTCTCATGGTAACAATTAAATAAAGATATTCTTCATTTTTATTAATGTACTCGTTTTCCTGTACTTTAGAAAATTGTATATGTTCTACACGCACAAAAATCCGCAGGCTAGTTATTAGTATGCTTCATAAATGGCATGCAAATACTATTATAAAACTCCATACTGAAAATTTGTTTCGCGGGTATAATAAAGTATTAACAAGACGAAAACTGCAACGCACAAGTACCAGCGAATTTCGCCTGAAATCCAATTGTGGTAAAAAAAGAAGTTCCGGAATTATTGATAAGAGATACGGCCGGAATGCGATACAATGACCGAAAAGTCATCCGTGAGAGTTGAAAATTTGTGCAGAACAAACGGCCGTGAGACAACATTTATCGAGCATACTAGATATGCTTCCAACTTATTTTACAGCGATACAATTTATGGATCGCTTAACAAAAATTTGTACCCATTGTTAGCACTTTTGTTTCTAAATGTTTAACATATAGTAAAATTCCTACATGAAACCACAGAATGAGACTATTTGGAAAACAATAAGTTATTAAAACAAATTTTGAAAATCAAAAAATAATTCTTCATAACAATTAAGAATTTGTTCTTGAAAATATTGCAGTTTCAATTTCGGTTTCGAGATATTGATAGTAAAACATAGTATTGAAACCTATATGTTAGTAGTGAACTTATATTAAAAAATAATCTGGAAATAAGCTAACAAATATTATTTGTATCTATATTTGGGTCAACAAGCGAATCAGCAGACGTAAACAAATGTGACTCGTAAATGTCATTTGGCAGCCAATTACGAGCCATACCGCTATGCAGGACTCCCGGCGTATGCATCACCTATCTACTCCTTGCTTAACTTATTTTCCTGTAAACAGTAGTCGCAGTATCAACCACGGATATATCACGCAAACACTTTGTTTTTCTTCGCTGATTCCTCTTGTTGATCCGAGTAAAGATAGATAGGAGTAGCTGTATGAAGATAGGTAGATAGTTAGCTAGTAACTTTAATTATAATTTAATCACAGTCTATATACAGGAAGAGAAAGAATAATATATAGAGTATAGTAAGATTTATCTACACAGTCTGAAAATGATCATCGTTGAGGTTTATAAGATCAATAAGTATCGAAAAATTCTCCAACATGTATATTTATGTACATTTAAAATTGTCAAGTAAATTAATATAGAAATGATTTACCATGTTATTACCAAAGATACGATAAGAACTTAAAAGAAAAGATACATCATAACAAACAACATAGAAAGAGATTGAGTGATCTGCTTGATATTTAAAGATAAAAAAAAACTTACTTATATATATAAATTTCTTAAATAAATAACAGTATATTTTAATGAAACAGGTAATCAAAAAAAAGAAAGTGTAATAGTTATGGATTCCAGTCATTCATACTTTAACCATGCAACATTGTAAAACAACTGATGTAATAATAATATATAAAATGTAACTATAAACCAAAATCGTA